TTTTTTTTTTTTTTTTTTTTGTTAAATGTAAATACAATTACCTTTTATAGGAGAAAATTAAAAAAATAAATAAATAGTTAAATTATAATTTCATTGGTGATCGTTTTCAAAGTTAGAATTCGTCTTATAATTGCAAAAAAGATCATATGACTCTGAGAACTTGGCCAACTTGGACTATCCAACTTAAACCATAAATGTTGGATTTGGTTCACTAGTTGACATTTTTTTTGTTTGGTCAACCCGACCAAACTTAAAATAGAGAAACAACTCAACCTTACCCTACCATACTTTTAAGATTATTATGAAATTAAAAATATTTGATGTTTATGATCGATGCTACTGATGCATTATGACTTGTGAATGTATAATATTTTATGAGATTTTAGTTATTAATGTAACCGTGGATAAACAGGATTTTAAAAAAAAAAAAATTAAAAAGAGACTCAACCCAACAAAAAAAAAATAGAGGGTTGGGTTGACTTATGAACTTTATTCAGATTATTCGTTAGCAAATAGAGGGTTGGGTTGACTTATGAACTTTATTCAGATTATTCGTTAGCAGATATTGTCTACTTTTGCTCGTTATGTATCACCGTAAACCTCATTGTTTTAAAATGGGTCTACTAAGGAGAGGTTTCCACACGCTTATAAGAAATGTTTCGTTCCTTTCCAACCAATATGAGATTTTTTAATCTACGCTTCTTAGGTCCAGTATTCTCGTTACCACATCGCCTGATTGTCTAGCACTAATATCATTTATAACGGGTTGAAGTTACCGTCAATAAACATTTATGGAAATTTCTTGGAATGCAAAAGAGAAATAGTGTAAATCTAGAATATAATATAATAATATATAATGTGGACTTTAATTTGACATGACTTTTTTAATAAAGTCTTCTTTAGGGAAAAAAAAAAAAAAAAACTTCTATCTAATGTCAACGAACCATGTGGGTGATCTCGAAACTTTTTCCATACTAATAATAAAAAACTTTTAATAATATTTATGGAATTTTTAATAGATAATTTTTATTTTTATATTAAAAAACGTAAAATATTTTAATAAATTTAATAATATTTCAAATAATTTAAGAAATAAAAAAAATTCTTTCCGAATGAAATAAAATATTTATTTTCTGAGTACGTAAAATATAAATTTTGGATATATATAGTTCATAAATGATATGAACAACCATACCTCTGAACTAATGCATAAATTGGTCAGCATGTGACACCCAAACAAATGAGTGGTACATGAATAAACTAAGATCATGTCCGAATAAGAGAGATATTGTAATAGTTGAAGCATTGCTAGTAGATATTATCTGAATAAATCGAGACTACATCCGAATGAGAGTGATATTGTAACAACCCAAGCCCACCACTAGTAGATATTATCTGCTTTAGACCGTTACGTGTCGTTGTCACCCTCGCAATTTTACAATGCGTCTACTAGAGAGAGGTTTCGACACTCATAAAAAATGTTTCAATCCTCTCTTCTCCAATCAACGTTGGATCTCACAATCCACCTCCCTTGAAAACCAGCATCCTCATTGTCACATCGCTCGATATTTAGCTCTGATACCATTTGTAACAATCCAATCCCTTCGCTAGCAAATATTGTTTGTTTTGACTCGTTACGTATCGTCGTCAGCCTCACGATTTTAAAACACATCTACTAAAAAGTTTCCACACCCTCGTAATGAATGATTTGTTCTCCTCTTCAATCAATGTGGGAACGTTGACACAGACCCGACTGCAAAAGTGTTAAGAATGAGAAATAGAATTGGGATTGAAGGTGTGTGATCTTCATTGATATTCATAACGTTTAAATAGGATACAAGCTACCAGCTAATGCCTACTAATAACAAAACTATAAACTAACTAAATCTTGAGAATAAAATAAAATATATTACTAATCAAATCATAAAAAAAAATAAATATTAACTGATTACGAATATCTAAGATATATTCCCTAACTAATTATTATAGTATATTCTAATACTTGTCTTTATGAGTGTAGGTCAATAACACCCAACTTGTCTTGATGAGTGTAGGTCAATAACACCCAACTTGTCTTCACGAGAGTAGGTCAATAACACCCAACTTGTCTTCACGAGTGTAGATCAATAACACCCAACTTGTCTTTACGAGTGTAGGTCAATAACACTCAACTTGTCTTCATGAGAAAATAGAGAGTGTAGGTCAATAACACTCAACTTGTCTTTGAGAAGAGAGTGTAGGTCAATGACACTTTTGTCTTCCCAATAGTGAAAATATCTGTCAAGTTAACTCTAAAGAAGTATTTGCTGATGATCTGAATACATTGATTTGCTTTGTAGACTTCCAATAAATTATTGAATTTCAGTAGAAGATGCAAAACCAAATATTTGTTGACGATCTTGCAAGGAACAATTAAATTTACCCAGAAATAGACTGCAATAATTTACTCGAGGATTGGTTTTGTCCCATTTAATTTGATTGGAACAAGTGAATATCCTCACTGATCACTACTTCTTGGTCCATGGATAAATGATTTACTCCATGGATAAATGAATTACTTCTTGGTCGTTAGAGTGATGAATATAATAAGGATGTATTAAATAAACATCCAAAGTTTTGAAGTTGGATAATAACACTAAGATCGGTGCTCTAGATCACTTGAAAGGTTGTGAAAGAAAATACGAACATCTTGAATATGCCACCTTTGAGCTTCGTGAGAAATTTGAAGATGCTTATAACGTATTCTTGATATTGGATGATCGAGAACAGTTTGCCAACCACAATTCTCAGTCTAGTAGAATGATTGAGAATATCTGTAGCCAATTCACCAAATTAAGATTAGGAGGCTACCTGTTGATGATGGAATCTGGATAGCTTGCCACAAACATCTTGATAATGAATATGTTCTTGATTTTATTGTTGAAAGGAAAAACTATTGTGAATTGCGGTGCTCAATCAAGACTTGCGACTATTGCGATAGTAGTGGTAATACTAGGCTCACAGGCTTGCGACTTGCGGTGATGTATGGACTAGTCGGGGACTGTAA